ATCACAAATACACTGACAGGCAAAAATTTCCACACAATTGATTTTTTTAAATTTTCTCCATAAAAGAAAATACTGCCTTTAATTTGTCTCATTTTTTTACCAATAAATGTTTGTTTATGCTATGTTTTAAATTGGGAATATCAATTAGAGGTTAATTAATTTAATCCTTATTCCAAAACAAGGAGAATGAATTTTTTGAAGTTTAATTTTTATGAAATTTAAAATGATGAAAATAGATTATCGACCTGCTGGATACAAGAAGTTCTTTTCAGAGGATCTTCGGAAGAGGTCAAAACAGAGAACACTTCCCTACGGTTTTCGCCGAGCTTTCGACAGTTTTATACTGTCATCTTCAGGGCCTGTTTTATTATCATATAAACAAACAATTATAACATGAAAAAACATTGTAATTAAAAAACAATTGTAATTCTTTATTGAGATCATCTTCAGGGCCTGGGATTTACTTTGATTGAATATAAAAAATTTTTTTTTTTATCGTGCCCACGTTTCGATCTTTATTGAGGTCATCTTCAGGGCCTGGGATTTACTTTGATTGAATACAAAAAATATTTTGTTTTTATCGTGCCAAAGTTTCGATCTTTATTGAGATCATCTTCAGGGCCTGGGTTTTACTTTGATTGAATATAAAAAATATTTTCTTTATCGTGCCCACGTTTCGATCTTTATTGAGATCATCTTCAGGGCCTGGGTTTTACTTTGATTGAATATAAAAAATATTTTCTTTATCGTGCCCACGTTTCGATCTTTATTGAGATCATCTTCAGGGCCTGGGATTTACTTTGATTGAATATAAAACAAAAATATGTTTTTGCATTGTATAAATTCACTTTTTTCCACATCCTACATGTTTTTGTAAAATTTAAACCATGTTTATAAATCCCAGGCCCTGAAGGTGTTCTCAATAAAGATCGAAACGTTGGCACAATAAAGAAAATGTTTTTCTGAAACCTACATCACACCAGAGCGCATCTCACGATTTCTGAATAATCATCGACTAACGGTCACTAATCACCACACATTTACATTACAGTGTTATTTCGTAGTAGTATCTGGCCTACTAGGATATATCAGATATGCGTAATAATAAACAAGTGAATAAAACGCTTAAAAAAAAAAAACTTTTACAGGTTTCACCGGCTATATTCAAAAATAACATATCTCAACTAAATTTAGTTAAGCAGTTACGCAGATAATGGTACATAAATAAGGCTAACTTTCCCTAGATAAGGTCTAGGAAGTGATGCTGTTTAAAACATAATTGTATATTAAAAATCAAATTATGCCATCATCATTGTCAACATGGCGAACTTTCCTTGGAGGCGGTAACCGCATTGTGAGTTTCATCTAGTATTCATAAGTAATTTTCAAGTCTTGTCATCGTCCTCGAGTGGCCACTTGAACAAGATTAAACGCGTCTGTTAATGTGATCAAACGCTTCTTTTTAACCCACTTATCAGAATTGATTAAATTACACGCGGCCAGGGTATTTATTATGTTTTAATTTATTTACTCCAGTCCGACTATTTTCTCTTGCATAATGAAATTCGCGCGAGGAAAGAAACGCCGTTTATCTAATCTTAATTACGCAATCCCCGGCATGATAAAATAACGAAAGTAATGTTTTGGTAGGATGCCAGTGAAGGAAAACTATGTCTGGATTATTCAACAGGTACTTTCCCTTCTCTACTTCTAAACAGTCGTGTGTAAGACGGTTCTTTCTCAGTTTGTTCTCCTTACTGTCATATTTCCAACTTCGTAGTTTAGTGTCTTATTCCTCCTTTACGATTACCATTTACAATTTTTCGACACAATTTGACATTTAATTTACTAAAAACGTTTTGAATTAAGCTTCTAAAGAAAATAAAACGACTGATATTCCTCCTACAAGTTGACGACTTTGTTTGCATAAAACACAATAGAATTAACCAGTTCAATTTGATCTGTCATGAAACTTTAAAATCACTCCAAAATAGAAAAATAAATACAAAATTATAAATCCATATAAAATTAGCAAACATAATTAACCGTAATAATCCTTCATTAATTATACTTTTGTATCTAAGGTCTTGGGTCTTAGTTAAGATGAAAAAGCTAGCGTCACGAACGGGATTCGAACCCACGATAGCTCAACTGGTTAGACCAGCGGCGTATCGAGCTGAAGGTCGTGAGTTCGAAACCAGCTCGTGATACATCTCAACCAAGACCTTAGTTAAAAAATATAATTAATAGAAAAAATTACAAAGATTGTACGTATCAATTCCTTTTTGATTTTGTTAATTCACTTTTTAAAAATTCGAGAGGATAGCAGCAAAATATTTATGGCTTCATGAAAATACACACTTCAATGAACAAGATAAAATCACTAGAAGTTTCTTTGTTTTATGAACATAGAAATCTAGTATGAACTGTATAATTTTTGGTTATTATGTTGCTTTTAAAGTCTATGTTTCAGGATGAGGTTTGACTCGTAATAAGGAGGGTTAACAATTTTAATTAGGACTTTTCATTGGAATCTACAAGTAAATCTTACAGATATTTTGTCATCTATGTACGATAAATTTATTAAAATTTAGCTTTTAGATTTTAAGCTGTCCTTTATTCATCAATCTATTATCCTCCTATCAGGTTGGTCCTGTCCTAAAAAAACGTATTTTTACGCACACAAACTCTCTCTCCGTTTATATGCAGGAAATCGTTATAAATGGTAGCGTTATATTGAAGTTTTACTGTATACGGAATAACTCCAACCAGTGGATAAGAGGGGAAATTACCAGCTTGAACAGAAGAAAATAATAAAAACGCAATAGAAAGAGAGCTTCTCTCTCTCTCTCCCTCTCTCTCTCCCTCCCTCTCTCTCTCCCTCTCTCTCCCTCACTCTCTCTATTTCTCTCTCACTCTCTCTCTTTCTCTCTCTATTTCTCTCTCACTCTCTCTTTCTCTCTCTATTTCTCTCATTTCTCTCTCTCTCTCTCTATTTCTCTCTCTCTCTCTCTCTCTCACTCACTCACTCACTCACTCACTCACTCTCTCTCTCTCTGTATCTATCTACCGCTCTATGTCTCTATCGTTCTATCTATTTATTCCTATCTATATTTCTAACTACCAACACATCTTTCTATCAAACTATTTGCATCTATCACTCTTTCTTACTCCCCCCTTTCTGCATTATTCAACCATGGTAATGTGCTCCTTCTTATTCTATTTTTCCCAGTGCATCTCGCAATGTTATTTCTCTTTTATATGAAATGTTCAATGAGGAAGGAAAAAAAGAGATAGAGCGAAAGGGAGAGAAAGAGACTGCTCATAATGCTTCTCTTTCTAAAATTTTCCATAATTTCAATTATAATCTCTTTCATCGTTAATGCTTTGTTGTTCACTTTAGGGTTTTGGTCATATTTTATTCAAATAAATACCTTACATATGTTACATGAGGGCTAATTGTGTTTATAAAAATCGTTATCATTTGACTCTATACTAATTTTTCTTATTCTTCAACTAGATATCATTCTAGCTTTTTTTGTATATATTTGTTATTTTTCTTATTTATTTGGTCTGTTTTGCAAAACAAATCTCTTCTTCACACATGCTCTCCCCTCTCTTTCTCCCCTCTCCCCTCTCTCTCACTTCTCTCTCTCTCTCTCTCTCTCTCTCTCTCTCTCTCTCTCTCTCTCTCTCTCTCTCTTCGGAACTCTCTCTCTTTCAAACTCTCTCTTTCTCTCCCTCTTCCGAACTGTCTCTCTCCCCCCTTCGAACTCGCTCTCTCTCTCTTCCCATCTCCCTCCCTCTTTCTTCCGGACTCTCTCTTTTCTCCGAACTCTCTCTCCCCTCTCACTCTTTCGCTCTCTCTTCGGAACTCTCTCTCTCTTCGGAACTGTCTCTCTCCCCCCTTCAAATTCTTTCTCCATCGCTCTCTCTCTTCCCAACTCCCTCTCTCTTTCTTCCGGATTCTCTCTTTTTTTCCGAACTCTCTCTCTCTCTCTCTCTCTCTCTCTCTCTCTCTCTCTCTCTCTTTCGCTCTCCCCTTCTCAATGTCTCTCTCTCCTCTCTTGTTCTCTTTTTCTTTTATTTTTTGGAATCCGTACCAGTAATGCAATAGTGTTCGTTTCCAGTCGCTTACTTTCCCAGAATAAAAAGTATAGTGAAGTTGTCGAAGATTGAAGTTTAAAAGTTATCCCCGGCTTTAGATACCTTGGAAGTGAAAGCCTATCCCAGGCGTGAGGTTAAACGAAGTCAAGTGCAACAGGCATTTAGGTGGATGTAACAAAACCTAAACAAAGAAAGAAAAGCTGTGTGGCAAAGTTTCTTACATAGGGCTAATGTTGGCGGTTATATTTACAGACCAACTTGCCAACACATATGGGCCAAGTTTCGCAAACTGCGATAAATTTCGGCCGTCAAGGAGCCAGCAGGGCGATCTGCTGATCTGGAAATGATAAGGTTTTTATTGAGCCATAAAACCTGTTATTGGCGATTCGCCTGACGAGGGGGTGGATTGGAGGTTGATTTTTGCAGAATAAGCCACGATCTTCAACCGGTGGATATGTGAGATTTTATCGCCGGCTATCATAATTTTAAAAATATGATTGTAAATAATTTTAACACGTAGGATTATCTTCTATATTGCCTTTATAGTTTTTGAACGTCTTGTATTAAAAAAAAAATGTAAATAAAGTGTGCACAACGCAATCAGCAGACGGATTCTGTGTAGTTTATAGGAATTTGTTTACCGATACTGTGTAAAAGAGAAAATAAAACACTTTATTATCATTAAACTAGTATATAGAAGATATTTATTTCAAACTAAAATATTTTCATTTTTTCATTGCACGAGTATTATAAGAGTCGGTCTTGACCTCTGCGCCCGTCCAGTTTCGCTTGTTTTGATAGACGTTGTAGATCAGGGACCGAGGCTAAACGGAAGAATCCACAGTCGTCTCGGGATCCTTGAGCCAAACCAATGACGGTTTGCTTTGTTTATTTTACTACATTCCGATTTTAACACATGAGTGATTAAAGATTACACTAGATTTGTACGAGAGTTATGAAACCTTAATTCTACACAAGTGCACGGAAAATTTTCCTTTTTTTTCCGGTTTCCTTTTTTCCAAATTGTTTTTAGTGTGTGCTTGTTAACAGACGTCCAATTAGGTGAGTTTTTCTTAATTAACAAACTTTTGCATCTATTAAATAAATTTCTTTTTTTCATATTTAATTGATTTATTTTGTAATTTTCTACTTTGGTGTATGTTTGGTCACGTTATCTTAACTCATAAAAGTTATTTACTGACAAAATTTGTTTACGACATGTAAACTGACAAAATAAGTTAACAAAACTAAAAGAAAATACGAAAATAAATAAATGTATAAAATATGTTGCACTTATTTAAGCCTATCATACGTAGGATAAACTAGAAATATAAGCAACATTATAAATCGACTCCAAAATTAAGTAGTTTATTTTTTTAAAATAATTTACCATGAATAAGACACAGCATTGATTAAAATAATATTTTCAATTTTAATAATGATAATATTTTGTACAGAGTAAATAACCTGAATTGAAAAAATTGTTGACGTTCAACTTGTAACTAATAAATAATTCTAGTTACATTTGGTGGAGTGTTTGGAAGAACATCTGGAAGTACGGAGAGACTCGACTAACCAAAATTGGCTTACTTCGATCAAAATATCACTACTGGCTAAATTTAAAATTTTCATATACTTGAATATTACACGGCCAAAATAAATGCTCATTTGGTTAGAAAGATAGCGGAAGCTTTTCAGAAGAAATAGTCAAAATCCCGTAGGCTTTTTGCCAACCGTCTGACCTTTTTGAAGCGATAATAGTCGCACGTTTATAACAATTTGAGATAACAAGTATTCCATAAATTGAAAATATTTTTCATAACGCACGGTCTCGAGAGCTGACATGACGAAAAATAGACGAGGCGATTTAGGAAAAATTGAATTTTCATGCTGATTTTCCGTAAGAAATCTTAAAGACATAAAAAAATTTCACAGTTTACTTCTCTGAATATAATTGTAATTACAACAAACTAATTTTAAAAAAAATTAAAAACCTTATTGCCCTTTTATCCTATATGGAATAGTTGTAATATGCGTAGATTAAAGACAAAGTATTAGTAAAAAGTAAATATATATAAATTGTCCGAAATTTCTAAATTTATAAAATGTCTTGGTATCCGTTCCACTTTCCTCTCCGTATGCTTTATAAAATTGTAATTTAATTTTTTAAAAACCTAACAGTTGCATAGGAGTTGATGAATATAAAAAACGGTCCTGAGGCAACTATTTTTTTTCCTGAAATTTTTATCTATCACAATATTAGTCTAAATAAATATGTTCGGAATTTATCCATTTCTGAGATATAAGCCAAACGTTTGGTAAAAACTCACTAGTTTTCGTGGTCCGCTTGACCAATTCATATCTTTCAATTAATTAAGGTATTTAGTTGAGGTAAAAAAGTCAATGTCACGAGCGGGATTCGAACCCACGATCTTCGGCTAGATACGCCGCGACCATTTGAGCTATCGTGACTTCGATCCACTCGGACTCTAACTTCCCATCTCAACCCCAACTTTTGGTGTTGGTGTTGTTTGGTAAAAACGTTTACAAAGTTGCCAGGAGATCTTTGAATATTTAAATAATTCATTTTGTTGTATACATATTCTAGTAATTAAGCTAATAGTTGCATTTTCTGTTTAGGTAATGCACAAGGCGGAGGATTGATGAGATATGGCACAACGTTATCCCGACAAACCAATGGCTGAGACGGTTTGTTGACCATTGGTGAGTTAAATGTAATCACAAACTGACCCGAGCCTAGATGAAGTTTTGACAAATTCTTTAAAAAAAAAGATCTTTGCTAAAATATAAGTGGATATTGTGCAGGATTTCCAATTTATTTCAAACATTTGGCTGGAATCAGCCGTTTTTCCACTTACATTTCCGCTTTTGTTAATTCAAATTACACGTTCTTTGTCGAGGGAGCAGAGAAAACAAAAACCGCTGACCAGTCGCCCCTTGGCTGAAAATCCGGCTTTCAATATCAGCAATTCTGCTTTCTGTTCAAACCGATTACACTTTTGAGCAAAGCGCCAATTATTGAATTAACTCCGCGTTTTTACACCTCGTTACATCCATCAATAGTTGATACAGTCGGAAGTGTTGAATATGGGTTATTTAGTGGATCGATCGGCCAACAAGGTTTTTTAATAGGAATTTCAATCTATTTTCCCCCTTTTTCATTAGACACAATGGATCCTCCATCAGAAATTTGTCATACATTTGAGGATCGCAGCGACCGAATACAGAAGGTGGATAATTCGTATTTGCCACCCTAGCGGTCCTGAGTTCAAGTCCCAGCGTAGCCAATGGGATTTTAATAAAAATAATATAAAACAAGTACTTTAGGCGAATCTGACTCCTCATCTTCCAACGTGTGGTTGGACGTTAAGCCCTCCAGTCTGGCAGAAATTTTTTTGAACCTGCACTGGTTTCAACGTCACTCAAACGGATTTCGGCTTTGCGTCATTTAGTGAGCTTCGAGCTGACGACAAATAACCAAATACGATTAATATATGCAAATATTATTAAAATATGAATTTGTGATTCTGATGATAAGTTAAATTGCAAGTTGATAACCCGAAAAACAATTTAGGTACTAGAATATATAAATAATACGGTATTTATATGGTATACATAGAAAAAAGCATAAAAGAAAAAAATAAGGCGTGTGTGTGTGAGAGAGAGAGAGAGAGAGAGAAAGAGAGAGAGAGAGAGAAAGAGAGAGAGAGAGAGAAAGAAAGCGTGAGAAAGAGCGAGAGGGAGAGAGAGAGAGGGAGAGTGATAAAGGGGGAGACAAAGAGAAAGAGAGCGAGAAAAAGAGAAAGAGAAGCGAAGGGGAGCGGGAGAGTGATAAAGGGAGAGAGACAGAGAGAAAGGGAGAGAGAGGGGGACACTGATAACTCTAGGAGGGGAATAAGGAGGCTGATAGGTATCCTAACGGGCCATTGCCCCTTGAGAAGACACCTCTTCATAATGGGTACTCTACCAGACCCCTTCTGCCGCTTCTGCGAAACAAAAGAAGAAACGGCCCGACACTACCTCGCAGAATGCGATAGGTATGCTAGGGAAAGATTTAATACTTTCGAAGGAGAGGATATAACCAAAACACTCCCCAGGATAAAATGGTCCACAATCCTGGGGTTTGTGAATAGGTCCAATAGGTTTATGCAGGACTCGTGAGCCGACCAGGTCCCGGACCTTTTAGGGATGGGGTACGGGCCTACTCAGGCTTTTAACCCCTCGGGTCCTGGTCGCCCGCCCTGTGTAATATATATATATATATAAGGGGGACACTGACAAAGGGAGAGACTGAGAGAAAGAGAGAGAGTGAAAGGGAGAGAGAGAAAGAAAAGCGAAGGAGAGAGGAAGAATGATAAAGAGAGACAGGAGGGAGTGATAAAGGTAGAGACTGAGAGAAAGAGATAGAGTGTGAGAGAGAATGAATAGCATTTTATTTATAACCACAGATTTGGGACTAAATGTCATGTAACCACTTAGACATAGGTAGATAGTGAAAGAGAGAGAGTGAGAGGGGGAGAGAGAGAGAGAGAGAGAGAGAGAGAGAGAGAGAGAGAGAGAGAGAGCTAGAAATCTAGGATAAAGTAAATGTTGTAGCTAAGGATGCGAAAGAGTATGCCTGTTAAAAAATTTTTATGGGGTCAGAGCGTGAGGGTGGGAGAGGGGCGAGAGAGTGATAGGGTGAAGCAGAGATAGTTATTAAACATCCCAATAAATGATATACATTTGTTTGAAAGATCCTTCAACTTAACCAATATACCAAAATGCTTAAGTTCAGTGCCTAACTATTTAAGTAACTATCTTATTAATTATTCAGAAATCGTGAGATGCGGTCTGGAGTGATGTAGGTTTCAGAAAAACATTTTCTTTATCGTGCCAACGTTTCGATCTTTATTGAGATCATCTTCAGGGCTCAAAGTGTTTGTCTTCTGTGTAATTGTGCCATTCTTGCGTGTCCTGTTGAGAGTCAAGTTTCTGAAACCTACATCACACCAGACCGCATCTCACGATTTCTGAATAATTATCGATTAACGGTCATTAATCACCACACATATCTTATTAATCTAAACTTTCAAAAAGGTCCCATTTAATAAAAAATGTCTATTGATTACACTGATAAAACACCATCTCAGCATTGGTCAAATGATTTTTAGAGACTCTAAATTAAAAATCTGTACGGCACAGTGTATAAAACTCAATTATAAACAACGGGAACTCTGTGTGAAGATGATATCATGAGGCTTTTAACAACGAAGCATGGTCGACGCAATAGAAAAATATACTTAAGAATGCACTATGAAGAATGGGCCACATTCATCACTGATATTAACTTTTTCAATTAATTAAGGTTTTGGTTGAGATAAAAAAGTCAGTGTCACAAGCGGGATTCGAACCCACGACCTTCGGCTAGATACGCTGTAACTACCACTTGAGCTATCGTGACCTCGATCCACTCGGACACCAACTTCCCATCTCAACCCCACCTTTTGAATTTTCCCTCCTTTTTGCCATTTTTCAAATGTCGTGTAATCTATTTCATTCTCGGCGACAAATGAAATGGCCACGGAGAGCTTAAGTGAAGTATACTTCATTTTAAACTTATTAAATTCACTAGTTTCGTGGTCCGCTTGACCAATTAATATCTTACAATGAATTAAGGTTTTCAGTCGAGATAAAAAAGTCAATGGCACGAGCGGGATTCGAACCCACGATCTTCGGCTTGATACGCCGCTGCTCTACCACTTGAGCTGTCGTGACCTCGATCCACTCGGACACGAACCTCCCATTAAAATCAAGACTTTCAACATTACATACTATAGCAAGAGATGAAAGGTTTTCGGTTAATTGTTTTTTAATGACTAATGTTTTTATGCAATTTTAGTTTACTTGATGTAATTATTTAGACTCGATGTAAGATGTAATACTTTAAATTAATTATGGTTTTTAATTGAGATAAAAAAGTCAGTGTCATGAGCAGGATTCGAACTCACGATCTTCGGCTAGATACGCCGCTGCTCTACCACTTGAATCGTGACTTCGATCCACTCGGACACTAACTTCCCATCTCAACCCCACTTTTTTAAAATTTTCCCTCCTTTTTGCCATTTTTCAAATGTCGTGTAACCTATCTATTTGATTCTCGGTGACATATGAAATGGCCACGTAGAGCTTTAGTTAAGTATACTTCATTTTACTTATTACATTTCATTAGGTTTTGTGGTCCGCGGGACCAAATAAATTCTTTTTCAATTAATTAAGGCTTTGGTTGAGATAAAGCCAAAGGTCGTGGGTTCGAATCCCCCTTGTGACACTGACTTTTTTATCTCAACCAAAACATTAATTAATTGAAAAATAATTTATTTGGTCACGCGGACCACAAAACCTAATAAACTGATATTAACCGTAATCTTAATATTATTTTTCTAATCCATAATTCTGATATCTTGCCTATTATATCCTACCTCTTTTGTTATGACCGACATTTTATTCCATTTCTTTTTTAATATGTCATTTAGGACAAATAAAGGTTTGTATTTAAAATTTCCCTCTTTTTCACTCTCGCTTATTTCATTTATGATTTAAAAAATTGAAAGCCTTTTAGTATATGATAAAGAGGTTTCTTAAAAGTAGGACTTTGAAAAGTAACAACCCTTAAGTTTAATAAGAGTTTAATAAAATCCAATCCATCCACCACCTGCCGAGTTGGATGAAGAAAATGAATAACGAAGGCCTTAAAGAAAAAATAATAATTACAAAAACCCAGAACTGCGCACTACACTACGGTGCAAGTTAGAGTGATGAAAATCGTAGGGAGGGGCTGTAAAGTTATGAAGTGAATTAAAAGGGGGTAGTGAGGCGGTGTGATTGATCGGCTCGGGAGGGATGAGCGTTGATTGATTACACCACCGCAAAAATTCAGCGGCCGGGTTGGGATTAAGTGAAAATCTTCATTATTTAGCTTGAGGAGCGAATACACAATGAGCGTGTTGATGAGCGTGGCGGCAACATCAATCTCACGGTGTACACGAGAAGAAAACGTGCCACCAGGACCCATTAGTTACACAAGTTCATATTTCAATGTAGTAGAAAGGAGGATTTTTATTTTTCAAAGAGGCATATTTTTTACGATATAGTTATGGGTATAAAGTGATTGTTTATTGTTAAAGGTCATTCGTAGTTTCTATGCATATCAGATACCTTTGAATAAATAAACAGCAAAGGAAACCCGAGTAATCGTAGAAGTTACACCCTTTCAACTATACGAGCTGGAGGGTGTAGATCAAAGCGATGTTGGGTCTCAATTTCCCACCTGTTGCTAATGAGAGCTTCCTATCAGATACAAGGCGGACTATCGCCACGCGGCTATTGCCCTTTCATTATATCTAGCGACGGCGGGGTTTGTTATCAGCTTTTCCTATTAGTGTGTAATTAACGCCATTAAAATCTCTTGGGGGTGGTATTGAGCCCGCCCTTCATGCGATTACCGGCTTCAAAATCGAATATGAAACCATGACCTGTTTACGTGGTAGGATGGTGAAATAATGCCGCACATTAGCTTTTATCAAGTATCGATATTAATGTTTTACGTAAATTTTTTTTTCGAAAGCGTTGACATAATACTGCGTGATTTAACAGTTTATTTTTTCCTTTCTTAAAATTTAGTGCTATTTTGGTACAAATACATAGAAAAAAATCAGACAAAA